TCTTGGCTGAGTGTCACCTTCCTTCCCTGTGGCATAACTTCTCCCAGGTGGCAGGACGGGTGGGCTGGTCGTGGGCCCAAAAGGGACAGAGACGCAGGTTGCGGAGGGTGGGCAGCAAGGTCATGGCAGCAGGTAGAATAATTCTCTCTCAGCCTCATCTATTTGACAGGGTCACTGTGAAGATGAAATGGAGGCACACGGAACCGTATATGACACCTGTACATACTTCTCCAAAACCCGCCCCTGGGTTTGATGATGCAAAACGAGGGAAACATTCCTTTGGTTGAGCTAGCTCCTTAAACATAACGTTTAGTTAAATATTTATTTTCACTGTTTACATTATCTGCAAGCTTGTTAATGTTAAACAGGTGTTTACATTCAGTGACGCTTCACTTCTTAAAAAATGCAAAGCACCCTGTTTTCCCCAGGCTTACTGAGTAGGTGACAGTCATTGTGCAGGTATTATAAATATTAATCCAGATATTCTGGAACCCTTGTGCCCTGCTGATACTTTGGGCACTGCCTAGAGACGTTACCGATTTTACCTACGAAGCGAGTCAGGATATAAGATGAAAACAAGGGTTAGTTCTCTTATTGAAGATGGACGTGTGTCAATTTGAGAAAAAGGTTTTTGGAGTTAGAGGGGGAAGTTGAGATCAGTGTTCTGAGGCAGTAAAAAGGGGGTGACAGAAAAATAAAGTGCTTTGCCATTGTGAAATGGTGTAGTCAGATTAAATGGAGCTTCCAAGAGTTACTTCGCCATCAGGTCCAGAGCTGGACCTAAGCCACCCCCCCCCCCATATTTGATTTATGTTTATTTAAAGCCCTTTAAATGTCACACTCGTCAGAGCCATTAAACATGACACGGTTCATTTTTGATTCCTAGCCTTCCTTTTTTTATTTGCATTTACTCTACTGTGGAAGGGTACGGAGAGACTTGAGAGAGAAGTGCAGGAGCCAAAGGCCAACTAATCCCGCCTGAGGCCAGACTTTGGAGTAGCAGTGCC